AAAAAAAAAAAAAAGAAAGAAAGTATCTGCAGTTGTCTGAGGAGATTCCAGTGTGTTGAAGACCAGAATCCCCAAGCATTTGTATGTGACCTCATGAAGGACAATGACAATTTGACAGGTACTGACACTAATACAGAAAAGAAGCTGAGGAAAATCCGAGCCAGGACCCAGAAGCATCTAGATTTATATGCAAGAGATGGCCTGCGCACACTATGCATTGCCAAGAAGGTAAGAACAGATTACTCCAAGAGTGCTCTGAATATCATTAAATAGCTGAGAGGCTTCTACCTTTTCTTTTTTCTTTTTGAAAGACATTTGATATTGGTTATTATAACATTTTCAAGATTAGCCATCGTGAGTTAGCACACAGATCTGTGCCTTTGGTAATATTGCTGGGGCAGAAATCTGAATGGTAATGTTGCATATCATTGCATCTGTGTCATTTCCTGCTGCTTCTTATATGTGAACAGGTAACCCGAAACTCATAATTTTTTAATGGTAGATTTTTTTGCCTTCATCGTATTCTTCTAAATATTGCATTATTTGCCTAGATTTAAATTTTGGCAGTTTTTATGTGATCACATAAAAATCTTGATTTCTGATTTCTCTTGGAAATTGGAAAGATCTGGCAAACTGGGCCTCTATTCTTGAATAGAGGAGGAGCTCTGGTGGCATAGTGCCTAAGCCATTTGACTGATAACCAGAAGGCTGGTGGTTCAAACCCACCAGCCATTTCTTGGAAGGAAGATTGGGTAATCTACTTCCATAGTGATACCTCCTCAGAAACCCAAGTCAGATCCGACTCCACAGCAGTGAGTTTGGGTTTTTTGTATTCTTGAATAGCAACAATCAGCTTGAGCCATGTAGCACCTGAAACTTAATGAGGAATATATTTTTTCGTGCCCTGTGGTTAACCACAGTCTCTACCCCTCCCTATTGCATTGCCCTGCTATCATCATTTAGGTTGCCCATCTCATGCCCTGCATGCTTTTGACTTTGCATCCCTTGCAAGGAAGGCATGCAAAGAGGGCTGTGAATCACAGAGTAGGAGCATCTAATGAGGGACCTAAAATCTAGTAAACCAAAAAAAACAGACTCACTGCTGTTGAGTCAATTCAACTCATAGCAACCCTCCTTGGATTTCCAAGGCAGTTGTTGTTGTTGTTGTTGTTATGTGCCATCGAGTCAAACCTGACTCATAG